ATGAGCTTCAGTCACTGTGTGCAAAAAGGGCTCCCATGAGGTGCCTTGAACCTCTAGGAAAACCCCTGCAAATCCTCTGATCAATGCAGCCAAGAGACACGCAGTGCCCTGGACTGGAAATACCCATTTAACGCGCACCACAAACAACCACAGCTTGAGCTCCAGCGTTTGCTTGCAGTAACGTGCAGCCACAACGTGGCTCTGGGACTGATTTAGATTCAGCCCAAAGGTAGGTGAGCTTCCTTAATAAATACCTGCTGCTGCCAGCAACACCAGGCCAGCACAATAAATCCTGAGAGCTGAGCAACGCTGCAGACTCTGCTGTCTTTGGGCAGGGGGATTTCACCACACACCTGTCACCACTGCCTTACTGCCACCTTCAAGTCATTCCCAAAGCTTTATTTATACAGATCTATTAGTGCCCAGAACAATTCGACCCTGCCTAGGCCAGGAGGAGAAATGGAAGTGTTTAAGTAGGGTTTATTTTGAGGAGGAGAAGGAATTACTCTGGCTGAAGAGTGTTTATTTGTCAGGAGAAAGAGCTTTCACACCAGACAGCTCTAATCCAGGGATGGCTGCAACGCTCCTTGCTGCAGTGTTTAGTGAAAGCTGAGCCAAGGCTGCTCAGTGAAGACAAAAACACTACCTGGGCTCTTCCTGGGACCTGAAAACACCTCCACACTCACCCCCAGCTGTAGTTTCAGCCCCTGCCAAGAAGAGCATGTATTTCCATCTGCACTCAAGCTACCAGAGTGCTCCCCACGGCTTGGCCCAAGCAAATATCTGCAAAAATCACCGTCCAAATGCCCTTCTCTAGGCCTAACAAAGCAGGAATACCCCTCTTCTACTGCACTCTGACTGCAAACACACCAAATGGTGAAGATTTTAAGGAGAGCACAAGAAACCATCTATGCCCCAGAGTGCATCTATAGGCTACCGTGACTCCAGCACGGTGTGGAGCTGAGGAACAGCGTAGCTGTAACGCCACCAACCTCAGCATGAGCTACAAAGGTGTCACACTGTCACCTGGAGCTCTGCACTGCCATGGGCTCAGGTAAAGAGCCAGCCTACAGCACACAGCCTGCATCCTGGAAATATCCTAAATATCACAGAGATAGGAATCACCTTTTGTTTGGCATTTATACAGCACTTCGTGGACTTGCTATGCACAGAAAACTAAGAGCTGAGCCTACTGGTGCCCACTCAAGGAGTGCTCACTGGAAAAAGGAAAGTTCACTTCACTCCTGGGTCAATGCTCCAAATTCCCTGATGGATTGGGATGGGATGTGGATTTCCATGAGGAAATCTGGGGCCAAACAAGCAGGCCAAAACTCTAACCAGCCACAGGGCTTCGAGCGCCAGCAGAAGGGCAGGTTTGCAAAGAGACAAGAGGAAGCTGCACCAGGGGAGGTTTAGATTGGATATTAGGAAAAGCTTCTTCATCAAAAGGGTTTTTAAGCATTGGAACAGGCTACCCAGGGAAGTGGTGGAGTCACCACCCCGGGAGGTACTTAAAAGATGGGTAGATGTGGACATGGTTTAGTGGTGTTTTTGGCAGTGTTAGGTGGATGGTTGGACTCTTATGATCTTAAAGGTCTTTTCCAACCACACCAATTCTATGACACTGTTTGCTCAGCATCTCCAAGCCTGGGTGCAAAGCCAGCCCTCACAGCATACAGATGTCTCTGCAGGAGTGCACAGAGCTTTGTCCCCTCACTCCTCTTCCCAAGGTGGGACAAGGGCTGTTCTACCAGCTCACCTTCTGACCGTGGGGGCAGTGGCTGCAGGACTTACCGGTGCTGGTGGTCTGAAATGGCTCGGCATTTTCGTGCAGGACATTTTCTCTGGCTGTACTTGCACGAAAGCTCTGTTGAGCAAACCGCTGTCGTTCTTCCTGCTTGAGGAGGAAAGGTTCAGGGACCTCGACAGGAAATTCACAGGCTGCAAAGGGGCAAAATAAGAAAAGTATGAGGAAACAAGTTACTTTGACCTAACAGTGCTGCTATTTGGCCTGGCCAAAAGGCCAGCTAACAAATCCAATGCTTCAACCCCATGTACTGTTTGAAGGCAGCTTCAGGTGGCAAAGGTCTGCTGCTGCTTTGCTCAGGGTTTCTTTGGAGCAGCAGCCAGCTCTGCCCCTGCTCTGAGCACAGTCACCCCCTCACCTGGGCTCTTTTGAAACAGAGAGTCTTGGGGAGGGCAGGCATATTTTGCGTCATATCTTCATCCACAATATCCAAGGCCAGAGACTTCCGAACCTTCTTGATGGGACTCCTGCGCAACTGGGGGACATAAAAACACAAGTGTCACCATGAATCAACCCGGTGAACTGACATTCTAAGGGCCCAGGGTGCACAGAGCCCACATCACCCCAGGTCTGCACTGCACCACCACCTCAGCAAGGTGCGCTTCAGCCTTCCCCACCACAGGGCACAGCAGCTTCCAGTGCTCTCCTCCTGGCACCAAGATTTAGAAGAGACCCCTTTCAGTAGGAAAGGAAGGCCATCAGGGAAAAGAGACTTTGCATACTAGCCCACAGCCTTCTAGGAGCCCAACTTGCCACAGATGCTCCAAGCCTGCCATGAGTCTCTCCTGTAGGTTAGGGACACAGCATCTCCTAGCATGCCCAAGTTTAGCACAAGCCAGGACACAGCTGCTAGTATTTTAAGCAGGCCTTAATCACAGGCATCTCTTGCTGATTAAAAGGCAGCAGCCATAGGCAAAAAAAAAAACAACCCACACAAACAAACAACCCAACCCAAATTTTTTGGCATTGACAGCAGGATGAACAGAACACCCAACAACACAAGGCAGCCCAGCAGCAGGTACTGGATGCAAAAAATCAGCTCACCCCTTGTTTCCTCTTCTGTTTCTCAGGCTTCACGTCATCCTCTATGATAAGTTCAATGCCAGCTTCACTTCGAAGCACTTCTTTCAAGTCTTCTTCCAGGTGAGGAGTCTGGGGCTGGTGTGAAAAGGACAGAGAGCACAAGACAAGATTTTTATGCTGGGCAAACTCACTAGTATTTCTCTCAATGGATAATGGAGCCAGGGGAACCCACTGGAGCTCAGAGTGGAAAAATGAGGATGAGAGACTCTTATTATCCAAAACCCAAATGTGCCATCAAGAGACCAGTATGCACAGAAGGCCTGGGATGCTGGAAACTCCCATCCCCATAACACCCACATTAAAAGACCCAGTTCCACAGGGATGTTTAGGTAGAGCATTTCCTTGCTTTTCCTCAAGGTCATCAGGAGCCAAGCACTGCAACCTGACTAGAGGGCAGGTTTTGGCACTTTTAGCTGGTTTACAGAGGAGCTAAAAGCCCTGTGGCTACTTGCCTTGACATATTCGCCATGATAACATCCCCTTCATCCCTCCCATCTCAGCCTGGCACTACCAAACTGTACCTTGTTATGACACAGATAACAGCTGTCTCACAGCTCCACCACAACCTACCCCACGTCCCATTTGCATTCATTATATTTCTGCCACCAGCAAGCACCAGACCCACCAGTACTCACCAAAGGCCTAATTGGTCCGTATTTTTCCAGGGCATTTTTGAAAGGTGTGGGGGTGTGAGGTGTGTTGTCCACCACATACTTCTGATCTGGTGTGACAAACCTGGCAGCAAAGAGTGGAAAAGACAAAGGATTAGGCAATCTCAGCCTGGCACTACCAAACTGTACCTTGTTATGACACAGATAACAGCTGTCTCACAGCTCCACCACAACCTACCCCACGTCCCATTTGCATTCATTATATTTCTGCCACCAGCAAGCACCAGACCCACCAGTACTCACCAAAGGCCTAATTGGTCCGTATTTTTCCAGGGCATTTTTGAAAGGTGTGGGGGTGTGAGGTGTGTTGTCCACCACATACTTCTGATCTGGTGTGACAAACCTGGCAGTAAAGAGTGGGAAAGACAAAGGATCAGGCTTTCTGTAACACACACACACACAAAGTAACCCCTGTCCTCCTGTCCCTCTCCTTACATGAGCCACCTGCAGAGTCTCATGGGGTGGCAGCAGAAGCTTGCCTGGCTGGACTGCTCTTGGGGTGTGAGCAGGGCAAATAGGCACAGAGGAGCCTTTACCAGGGAAAACACCCTTCAAAGGTGGCAGCTCCACCCTGCCAGCAGCCAAGCACCCTCATCAGAAAGCAGTACAGCACCTCTGACACAGGCCACACTCAGCTCTGCAGGCCAGCCCTACTCTGCAATGCTTCCCGGGCTTGTGACAGTCACAGCTGGACCAGCAGAAGCCCTGGGTGCAAACACACAACATAGAATCATAGAATTGCCCAGGCCGGAAGGGACCTCCAAAGGTCATCTAGTCCGACCCCCCCGCAGTCAGCAGGGACACCCCCAACTAGACCAGGTTGCCCAGGGCCTCGTCGAGCCTCACCTTGAATATCTCCAGGGAAGGGGCCTCAACCACCTCCCTGGGCAACCTGTTCCAGTGCTCCACCACCCTCACAGTGAAGAACCCTCTCCTAATCTCCAGTCTAAATCT